AAATGTATTGCTCTGCTTTCCTTTGGACCACATCAGCGAGACTGAGAGGGGAGTCTTGTTATCTGGGCAACCCAGGACCTCCTTACAAACTGCCCAAGTTTGTACCCTGAGGAGGTCACTTCAGTGTTGTTAATGCAGCAGTTTGACTTCACCCCAGAGGCACACTCCATTGTTTCTCAAGACAGACAGATGCCAACAAAAATTGATGGCTTTCACCTGAATTGTGTATTAGTTTCTAAGGCTGTGTGAGAAAAAGAATAACCTAGCTGCATTATAAGCCAGTAATGTGTTCACAGTCCTTGTGGTGGTTCTAACACAACTAAACTTCTATGGTCCATATTTTACAGGCAGCGCATAAAAGTGGACTCCATTCATTTATCAGGAGAGTACAGCAGCCTTAAATGCCTGATAAGAGCCATAGGGTTTTTCCTTGGTGAATGCACCTGTGTTATATCCCAGTGTTTCCACACATAGGGTCCAACTACTGTAGATGAGATGCAAGCTTGTTCAGGTGTCTAAAGTAACAAATTAAATGTGTGGGTGGGGAATGTACACAAGCCCATGCATGCTAAATCCTCTTCCAACCTTCAACATAAAAGTCTGAATGGAGATTCTAACCACATTCAACTGAACATGATTAAAAGCCTACACCTGATCGCAACCCCTGTGCAAGCAGGCTTCCTCATCACAGGGAGAATGAATGGGACACGGTTAAAATCTTCCTGCAGACCTTAGTGCTAAAAGAACAGAAGTCAAGTAAAGAGCAGGCTGGGCAAAGACGTTTCCCGTACTCAGTCTGAGTCCTCCCAACATGTTCTTTTGGATGACTGAAGAAGATTCATTATCATTATCTCCTTACTTTTCAGATTCCTGGGGCTCCCAATTTTATCAGGGAAGCATTGCTGAGTAGCGAGAATTAATGAACACATCTACAGTCTATACTCTGAGATTAGATGGGTGGTTATTGGAGAGAGGAATTATGAAGCTCTATCCACAGACATGTTCATCTGTTACTAGCACGGTTCTCTTTAGGAACCGGGAAATAACTGCCTTGTCCTCTTGTGGTTGTATGCAAGACCATTGACAGTACAATCCTATGCATGGCATGGTTATTGAAAAGCCAGTCCAGCTGAGGTCAATGGGGCTTATGCTCCTGTAACTCGGTACAGGTTTGCAAAATCAATTCTGGGGCTTCCACCTTGATATTTAGTTGCTTCTGTAGTTTGATCTTGTATTACATTGTGCTAACCACATGTTTTAAAACTGCCTTGAGAGCTTTCCTATTTCAAGGCAGGTGTAAATGCTTCATAATAAATAAACACATGAGCAAACAATATTGTTCAGTGAATCATTTTCATCTTCTTGAAATTAAAATCACTATCATTCCCTCTAAGTGGTGCAGACTGAAAGAGAGTGAAAACTGGCCACAAGTATGCTTCAGATTGCAGCACTTAACAAATCATGAAAATAAATTTTAAAAGTTAAGGAGGAAAGCCTAATATTAGCTCAGTGAGGACTGCGCATGCTCCTAGAATCTACAGAATGTTTAGCGTCAGTTGGAATCAAAAAGAGAGAGGGGAGAGGAAGTGAATTGGCTTTCTTGAGCCCCTTACAGCATATGATATCTGGGAAGAAGGCACAGTTGTCTAATTGGACCCCTCACAGGGGTAAGAACACAGTAATGTTTTGTTTAAGTCCCCACTTGTAATTACACTAGTCTCACAGGCACAAATACAAACTCACAAATGGTCTATCCATCACCAAATATTGAATTGCCACATGATCTGTATTTTGGGAAGATATTCATAGCATAATTATTGTTGGAACTCCATACTAAGGCTTTTTGCAAAAGGTTTTGAAGCTTCCTTGGTTACACTCATAAAATGTTTATTTGAAGCGAAACAGGATTCTTGCAAAGGAAGTAAAAACCTTTCCTACTGATGAATGTAAGCAATACATGATGCATCTGATTAGCACATTATGGATAAGTACTACCAGAGCTGTGAAGTCTCAATGACATTTTGATCATAAAGGAATTGCATGTAGTGTGGTATTTTTATGACTTTGTACCTAGGAATTTTATTTTCTTAATAACCAAGTTACAGGTACTGCAAAGAATCTCCTCAGTGGCCTCTGTGGAACTGTTTGCCTGCTTAGGCACTCATCTGCATGCTGTACATAGCACATGCTTGTCCTTCTGAATGATCCGTCACAGAAATATGAGTCTAGCTCTTGACAAGAACTGGAAAGTGTAGAGCACTGGGTGTTTTATTTGAGAGTGTGTTTAAATACAAGCTTTGGGCAAATTGATGGTGTAGGAAATAAAGAAAAAAGAAACAAGTTAAGGAAAAACATAGTGATGAACTGGCTGCTCATTTGACTGCCCCTCTCAAACTTCTGAGATGGAATCCTGTGTATAATACCGGTATTTTAATCACAACTTGAGATAGCAGAGTTATGCTTGCAACCATCTATAAAGAATTGGTTGAGTGGTTTGTCCTATCAGTTTTGAATGCTTCTTTGGAAATTCCAGGTAGCTGTGGCAAAATCAGCCACAGTGCACCAAATCTGATTAACAGTATTAGAACATTTTTGTACTGCAATATTTCCATAAGAAGCAGATCTACAATAACTGTTTTTGTAGGGATGCATGAAAATGTTGGAAATAAGGTATCCAATTTCTAAGTTCATTTCTAAAAAGGAAAAGAAGAAGAAGAAGAGGAGGAGGAGGAGGAGGAGGAAGAAGAAGAAGAAACCTGTATAGTAACTGAATTTAATTCAGGATGTGCTGGTAGCCCAGGGTTAAACTGTCTCATTTAGAATGTCAGTCAAAAATAAACTAATAACACTATTTGTAATCCCCTGCCATGCGTAACTGGCTTCAGGGACCAAGTCAACATTTCCTTTCAATATGACTAGATAGAACTTTATATAGGCACATGATTCTTTGCAATTTGACATGTCACCCAGCTGATAATGACATCTTTCTCAGCCAGTTTGACTTAGCTACACTGTTGAGAAACCATAGAATAAATTTTATTACAAGAACACATTAGTAGTTGGTGGGACTGGACATGCCCACTAGTGCATTTCCACCATAATGAATTCCACCCGCTCCTCACAATCAGCTCCAGAAACAAGTGAACAGTCTCCTCATCAACCACTACTGGATTCAAATAGTAAGCTGTTAGATGAGGCAGGGAAACTTTTTAAGCACAGAGACTAAATTTACTCATGAGCAGCCTTCCAAAGGACACATGGTGAGGTGAGGTCAGAGTCAAAAGAAGGAAGAATAACGAATGTGACTTTGTACATTCCTGCCACGATAAAGCTGAAGGTTTCTGCATACACTGGGTTGGGAGATGATGGATTTGTCAGAGATATTCTTCCAGCAACTCTGCTAGCCTCCGTTGGTCTCTTACTGGTCCCAGGACCCTGAGTGACTACTGAAAGTGCCAAGAAAGGGATTTCTGGGACAGAGTGGGACTGATTCAGCCTGGAATCTATTGGATCCTGAGCTAACCCTACTGCCATTGTTTGTTGACATTGGGCCCAATTCATGACAGATCATGGCAGCAGTTCTGGATGACAACTTAATTTGCCTGGGCTCCACAGGCCTGCAGAGGCAGCACTAACCCCACCACTCTTCTAAGTGCCACTGAACTACGGGAAAAGATTGAATTGTTCCTTCAGTTGCCTTTCATCTGCCTTTTGATCTTTTGCATAGCTTTGCCTTGCTGTTTCCCCCCCTATTAGTTTGTTTTGCCTTCCGACATTTCGTTGTACTTTAGTGTTATTATTGTCAGCTGCCTTGAGGCCATTTTGGTGAAAGATAGGGTATACCTTCTATAAACAAATTAAAGAAATAAACATGTAACTGCAGATTAGCCTCCACACCAAACACAGCTCCACTGGTTGAATATTATTTTTCCTCTTTATCACTTTGTTCTGTTAATGCTATAAAGATAAGGTAAGTATGAGAAAATATGCACATCCATTTCTTTCAGAACTGTCTGTTCCTTAACAGTACCTTGGCCCAGCATGGCTACAACACTGTGTAGCAAAAAGTCAGGGATCATTTTCCATGATGGGAACCCCACTGTGGAATACCCACAGAGGAGAGAGAGAAGTAGGAAAGACACCAATGCCATCATCTTTTCAGTGTCAGGTTGAACTCTTTATTTGTCTGGGCATTTTAAGTTTTGGGCTGCTCTCTTGTTTCAGTTGTTTTGAAATGTGTTTTACTTGATTGAGGGTGTTTTTTGGGGGTGGGGGAGGCATTCATGGTGAGTTCCGGCTACCTGTTTTTCTAGAAAAATAGCACTAATACCTAGTATGTATAAAGGTGATGGACTGCTTTAAAATATTTTTTTCCATAAATAAAATAGGAAGCTTTTTTCTTTCTTTCATGGCTGAAGTTATACTGCGGCATGAAGTTGGTTTGCATAGCAACAATGGATAGTCAATTTTTTTTGTAGATTTATCATCTTCTTCTTTCTTCTTCTTCTTTGGTGATCACTCGTAGCCGAGTAAGATTGTCTTCCATAAACACGGTTTTAACAAGGAGTTCGTAAGTGACTGTGGAGGTCAATTCTGGATCCACACGTCTTTCCACAGTGGGGACATTGGTTTCTGGGCAGGAGCTGATCATGGTGTGGATTTGCCAAGCATGCCTTCCTCCTAGCACGTTTCTCCCTTGCATCCTGAGTTTGAGTGTCTTCAAAGCCCATGACACCTTTGGTAAAGGCTGTTCTCTAACTGGAGCACTCTCAGGCCAGTGTTTCCCAGTTGTCAGTGTTTATACTACATTTTTTAAGATTTGCCTTGAGACAGTCTTTAAACCGCTTTTGTTGACCAACAGCACATACATTGCTGTTCAATGGGAAATAAGAAGCTGCCTTATACCTAGTCAGATCATTGGTCCACCTAGTTCAATAGCCTCTGCAATGACTGGTGGTGATTCTCCAGTATTTCAAACATGGCTCTTTCCCAGCTCCAACTGCAGATGCCAGGGATTGGACCTTGGGGCCATATGCATGCAGAGCATGTCCTCTGCCACTGAGCCACAGCTACTAGTTCTAATTGTGTTGCCAGTTACAGTGGTACCTCGGGTTAAGTACTTAATTCATTCCGGAGGTCCGTACTTAACCTGAAACTGTTCTTAACCTGAAGCACCACTTTAGCTAATGGGGCCTCCCGCTGCCGCCGTGCCGCCGGAACACAATTTCTGTTCTCATCCTGAAGCAAAGTTCTTAACCTGAAGCACTATTTCTGGGTTAGCGGAGTCTGTAACCTGAAGCGTATGTAACCTGAAGCGTATGTAACCTGAAGCGTAGGTAACCTGAGGTACCACTGTAATTCACTCTGACCCGCAAAACGATGATTCATACCTGTGCCACACACAATCATTCAGCAGGATTCTAGAAGTGAGAAACCAAAGGTCTAATTCTCAGTCTATATGCACTGCTATAACTCAGGAGTCGGACCAGCGAAATAAGCTGGGTTATATGCTGTAAAACCTCTGCAAATGGGAAAGCCAGGCTCATTAAATTTTAATAGCTTTGTTTTAAGATTTATGCAAATAATAACAGTCAAGCAGAAACACGGAAAAAATAAAGATTAAATACAAACTCAAATTATAAGTACTAGCCACAGATTTGAAGGTTCTCATGCAAAATTAGTTTAGGCTCATGTAATCAATAGCTCTATACCTTGGAGAACTCTTTTATAGAGCATCATGTGCATCAATGGATGCTTTAAAGAGGGCAAATATTGCAAATGAATCAGCATAACCATTCATTTATAACACTGGGAATCATAAAGTCTAAACCAAAATATATTGGGTTTTCACTGGGTTTGCTTTAATACTGAGGAGTTTATATATGCCGCTCAACAGGAGGCAACATTGGCATCACACATAAATTGTTATTTCATAAATTACCTGCGATCATATCCTATTTTAGGCTATTAGTTGCAGGGATAACAACATAGTTGCATAAAATGTTCTGCCATGCCTTCTATTTCTACTTATTGATACCTAATTCTCTCTCTCTCTCTGTTCATAAAATATTACCCTATAAGTTGTTGTCATTCTCATTGCATAAGTAAAAAGTTCAGTGACGGTGTTTTGTAAAAGTGTTTTCTAAAATCATTTCTGTCTGGAACAGGTTCCTATTTCTGGGGGGAAAACTGACATGAAAATCTTTACTCGTAAAAAAAAAATGCAGAACAAGAGATAACTATCTATTTATTCCATCTCCTCCATTTATAATGGCATACTGCCTTTCAAGGCCTTCCCTCACTTAGCATTTATAGTAGTAGAGATGTTGATTGAGGCTGTGCTGGTCCTGGGGGTTAATCAAGAGGCAAGGTCCAAGTCCAGTCCATGGTCGATGAAGCAATATGAAGGCAGTCCATAAAAGTCAAAGCTGGGTGCAGGGCAAGGTTCAGGCAGGGACTGACAACCACCAACGTTGCTCCCCCAACTTGGGACTGGGGCTGGCTGGCTTTTATATGCCCCGAGGTATAGGGCAGCCCCGATCCTCAGGTGACTCGCCTCTCCTGGCCTGGAGGCGAGCACTCCTCCTGTAGGAACTTAGTTCCCTTTACCTCTCTGCCCTGAGCCTCTGCAGCTCAGGAGAGGCTGGAGGGTTACCGGACCCAGAGGCAACCCCAGCTTCCTCTGACTGGGCTGAGAGAGGAGCACCTGCAGGCAATGGGTCCTCCATCGCCTCAGGAGCCAGAACAGACTCAGCTGGTGCCTGCACCTGAGGATCCAGTACAGGTGAGGACCCTTCAGGCTCATGCCCCAACCCCGGCTCAGCTGGTTCTGGAGGCGGGGGATCCTGTGCAGGCTGGGATTCCTCAGGTTCAGCATCTGAATCCGAATCCCAGGCCATCACAGATCCAATGTTTTTTAAGAGTGGATTTGTAGCTAATTGTCTGCACCTTTGCTCACATACCGCTGTAGTTGGCGAGTGAGTGTGAGGCTATCCTTACCACACTAATGGTAGGTTGTGCTTCAACTGAAAAAGTTCAGTGACTGTAGACACACCCCATTGATTCCCTCCTGTTCCTCCCGCCAATACATGTCAGAATTATGAGCACGTGCCTTTTCTGGCTTTAAAAATTTGAATGCCTAGTTTTCCAGGATCTTGATCTTGTGGGAGCACAGCAGCTTAGAAGAGGAACTATGTGTCTACCTGAGCTATGGAGAACCTGGTTATGGTGATGACATTTTGTCTACAGCTACTGATTGCTGTTATAGGCAGTACTTTGGCTCAGTTCTATTGTTTCTTGTCTGCCATACTTGTCCTCTGAGCTGAGGTCTCAAACAGTCAGCTCACATCTGCACAGCCTTGTCCTTACCACCATTCTGGCCTTCTGCAGCTTCATCCTGGTAAGGTGCCCTGATACTACCATTGGAATGGTGACTATGCAACTCCATACCACTGCAGTAGCCACCATTGCTACCTCTGATCCTGGAGAAGCCATGAACCAATGGATGTACAAGAAATGTGTGCCCCTGGCTTTTAAGTAGACAACCTTTTGTCAAGAGCTATTAAATCTGTGGTTGAATCAAAGGGACAAATGTCCCTGATACACGAATGTACTAACTCCCCTGCCAAGAGAACTTATGCCCTCAAGTCATGTACACCAACCTTAAAGTCAACCTATGATTAATAGGTGCAGCAATAAAACTGCTAGCATATTTGCAAAGCTAAGCAGGATCCGGTATGGTTTTAAACTGGATGGGGAACCATACCTTGAGATTCCTGTGTTGCAGAGAGTTGGACTAAATGACCCTTGAGGTCCCTTCCAATTCTATAATTCTGTGATTCTATGATCATCATTAGCCAGTCTTTCTACAGAGATATTTCGTTGTTTGCTGTATTGTTTTTGTAGCTTCCTGACATCCAGAGTCCTGTCTTTCCTGGTGAAAGATAAAAGCACTAATGTTATGATGAATAGCATTAACTAGAGCGACAATGAAACAGGTTTGGGAAGATCAGTCACAGAGTGTCTCTAAATTATATAAAACGAAGAGGTAAGCGATTTCACTCACAACAGTAACCACAACAAAAAGGCTTGAAAGGAGGATATGGGGGGAGGGGAGGGGAGTAGAGTGGGCCTGGACGTCGAACAGCAAAACTACCTTAGTCTAAGGTTTTCAGTTTTGTTTTGTTTTACTGCTTGTCTGCTTTTTGCTTTTTTTTTTTTAACACTAACTTTCATGTGCTGTGGTGTTCAGCAGGGACTATTTAATTGGATGAGGCTTCCAGAGAAGCAGAGGACAATTTATTAATGAAAATTGTTTTCTCACAGACATGCTGTGTTGCAGGAGATATTATATTAGTTCAAAGGCAGGAGGCAAAACAAAGTTGAGCTGGGTTGCTTTTCAGCTAGTCTCTTCTATGACATGAAACCGAAAGAATACTAATACAGCTTTTTGTTTAAAGGGCCGTTTAATCCTCATTTACTGTAAACATTTATAAGGATCTAAACGCTGCGTGAAATGTCACTTGGGGCTCAGGATGATAGCCTCTTTTCCAGTAAAGGCCTGTTGTCAATGCCACCATTTGAGGTAGCAAAAAGCTTATTAGTTAACACAATTAATGCTAAGGAAATAGATCTTTGCCCTCTCAGATATAAAGAGGAAAAATTAAAAGCAGAGTTATACATAAGAACTCAGGTTCATTATACATATCTGCCTTTTTTTCTAAGGGGACCTTAGTTTGTCTAGGGAGCAATTGTAGCTTACCTCATAGTCCTCTGAAACAAGTGGAATCAATTTCTTCCCTGAGCTTGGGATTTCTTTTTAATCCAGGCTATCTTTCCCCTCCATTATTAGAAGTCATCTGGGTAAACCACAGAGCCTAGGACTTGCTGATCAGAAGGTCGGTGGCTTGAATCCCCGCGATGGGGTGAGCTCCCGTTGCTCAGTCCCTGCTCCTGCCAAACTAGCAGTTCGAAAGCACGTCAAAGTGCAAGTAGATAAATAGGTACTGCTCCGGCGGGAAGGTAAATGGTGTTTCCGTGCGCTACTCTGGTTCGCCAGAAGCGGCTTAGTAATGCTGGCCACATGACCCGGAAGCTGTACGCCGGCTCCCTCGGCCAATAAAGCGAGATGAGCACTGCAACCCCAGAGTCGGTCATGACTGGACCTAATGGTCACGGGTCCCTTTACCTTTATTCCTACAACATTCCCTCTTTGGATGCCTCATTGATTTCACTTTCCATCTCAGGATCACCCTGAGCATTTTGATGTGGGGAATGATAGCACATCCCCAATACTAAATTACTCTTGAGGTCTGGTAGCCCCACCCACAATAATTGGAGTCTTCCTTTCTTGGGATATCCAGCATGTTGAGCTCTATTTCTTCTTTTTATATGCAGAGTGACACCACCTCTGCTATGTTCTGTCTTTCCTACAGAGTTTTTATCCAGAGAGAAATATTGTCCAATATACAGATGACAGACTGGGAAAGATTATGGAGAAGTGATATAAAATTCATGACATGTACGGCACTGAAGGAGAACTATATGAAAATGATGTATAGATTAACACTGGTTAAACTATCAAAATGTACAAAACAAAAGACAATAAGTGTTGGAAGTGTAAAGAGGTAGAAGGTACTTTTTATCATATGTGGTGGCAATGTAGGGTTATAAAAAGTTTTTGGGAAATGATCTATAATGAATTGAAAAAAATGTTAAAAATAACCTTTGTTTAAAAACTGGAAGCTTTCTTAATAGGTATATTTGGAATGGATATACTGAAAGAATATAAAAATTTATTCATGTATGCAACAACAGCTGCACGGACATTGATAGCCCAATGCTGGAAAGAAGAACAAGTCCCTACTAAAGAAGATTGGCAACGTAAACTAATGGAATATGCTGAAATGCAATATGTAATATTAAGGGCAATGTTTGAAACTGGAAATATTCAAAGATAATAAAATTATAAACATGTACAACATAAGAAAATACAAAATAACCAGGGGAGGGAGTGGAGGGAAGTCACGGATCGGAGGAATACCAAAATATGGATTTAATATGGTACAAAA